TTTTTTCTCAAGTTCTTTAAATAGAGTAAAAAAAATTTTGCATCTACTAACTATAAATCAGGTTCTTGATAGATGATGAGCTAAATTTATACTCATATTAATGTGGAATTATTGCCTTGATATTATTAATATTTGGATGAATTTTATGAGATTTTACATGGTTTTCATTCTTTCTACAAAAAAAAGACTTGAATGCATAATAATAGAAGTTTTTGGGATTAATTGAACATCTTCTCAAAGTTGAGTGATTGAATCGCAAGAAGAAGGGCACTTATTTGGGACCTTAATGAATGAATCTTGAGTTTTGGGTCTAAGTGCTCATTGTACAAACGCTAGAGGATAGATCTGTCATTTTACCATTGAAGAAATTACAAAAGGAGGCCAGAAACTCGACACGAGTATAGTATCGACACATAATCGAGATGTCGACACCATGCATTAATCGTCTAGAATCAAACTTTCTGTTTCCTATTTTGTGTCGACATGTAATTCAAGGTGTCAACACCATACGTTTAGCATCCAACATTCAAGGTTCCTATTTTGTTTCAAGTCCTACTTCTATTCCAACTAAGGTTTCTAAAATCTTATAAATACCCATTCAAATTCAGAATCAGGGGAGCTTGGTGGAGGCTGGTGGCAGCCCTCTTTGGGGCATTCTTGAAGATTAAGAGAGAGAATTCAACAATAGGAGATCAAGGATTGCAATTTTCTTAAATTGGGTTTTATTCTTCCTTGTTATTCTTATATTCATAACTATGATTTTAGATTTTATTATTTTTATTATGAACTGATTTATTCTACTAGGCCTACGACGTAGCCTAATCAATTCAATATAGATTTTGTGATTTTATGCTCTCAATTAAAGTTATTTGCATGAGGAGTTTATATTATTGAACTTAATGCATTGGAAACTTGATCACTTTTCAATTGATTTAGTGATTTATGCATAAACTTGAGAAAGAATTGTGTAAACTAAACCAATAATAATATAAAACTGTGTGCTAGACTATGAGACCGAGAGGTAATTAGCTCACATGTGGTAGTGGAGGAAGAGAAGAGAGTTAGCAGCTCCCCCTTCTTAAGTTAGTGGTTTCTATAAAATTTAATGCTCATTAGTTTGTTTAAAATTATATATAGATGTGATTAATTTAATAAACAAGTAAAGGATTAACTTCACTTGAGAAAACTGGTTAATTAATTTAGGAAAATCCGCCATCACATGCAATAACACTCAACAAATTAGTATATTAATCCAAAATTTATATTTGATTGATTATGCTGAAATCAATGCCTTAGTACCTCATATCTTGGTTAAGTTTAACAAATTGGTTATTTTCTTTTTATTATTTTTAATTAAAGTTTCTTCCTATTTGATTGTTCGAATAAATTTAGATTAATTATTTTGGTACTTAATTAGACACAATCCTCATGGGTTCCACAATCCTCATGGGTTCCACACTCTCTCATCATTATATTACTTGGAGCGACCAGTACACTTGGTAGGGTGATTTTAGTGCATCAACAGACATTAAAAGCCTTGAAATTTATGAAAAAAGAAAACCTTGAAAAAGATGTTGATTTCGTTCGCACCTAGTAGAAGCTAGTATTTCATCCAAAAAGTTTACTAATACTAACATGTTGCAAGTTAAGGTCTTCCATCCAATAATAATTTTAATAATCCTAGCATCTTGCAAGTTAAGCATTCGCCTCTTTTCTGGGACAGATAACAAATCTTGTCCTTAAGGGAAGACTTTCCCACCGCATCCTCATCAAGGTGCCTTTATCCTCCTTGGCCTATACCTACAATGGAATTTTGAAAGATGATTAGGGTTTAGGGTCTTGATATGGAGTTATATCCTAAGTTAAGTACTTTTAATCATGTATTGTTCATGAACAACCAAGATAGGAATCCTCCAGTGATGTTGTTGTGGGAGAGATCAACAATCCTAAGGTCATTTTGGTGATGGAGGAAGTAGGGATGTTCTTCTAATGCAAGGTAAGACAAACTCAAAAGTACAACGTGGAAAATGTTCTTGTTCATCTTTATAGGAGCACCCCAATACTTGTGGAACTTTTCTCTCATTGATTTTGTCATGTCTTTTACATCCACATCTTTCTCCCAAGATTTTACTAAACAATCAACATTAAGATTCAATTAGAAGTAAAATTAAGCAATGACCAAAGTGACAATTAAGCTACAAATTAATCAATAGAACACATAATATGCTAGCATACACACACACACACACACACACACACACACACAACACACACATATATATATTAACATACAATGAATTTTAAATCAAACTTAAAAGATGTCAATGCAATTGTAAGTTTAGGAGACAAACCTTACTAATTTCTGGGAAGAGAAGGTTGCTGGTAGTATATAAATGACCAAAAATCTTCTTAGTCAAGTAGTAGAAGTGGTCTAGGAACCTAACCATCCTTCTCACATTTTCCCAGTTAATACAGGATGAAAAATTAGGTTCATTTGGTTTATAATTCAGTTCAGCCCTCATATCTCTGTCACTTCTAACATATTTTTAGAAAAACAGAGCAAGTTATTCACAACTATTAAACAAAAATATAAATAAGTTCAACCAAACTAAAAAAAAACTCAAGACAATAAATGATACCTTTCAAATGCCATCTCATATTTTTCAGCAATGTCCAGCATCAAATACAAGGAATTCCACCTTATGAGAACATCCAAGCAAAGCCATTTCTTTGTTTCAATATCTTTAAACTCAACAGCATCTTTGAATCTTTTTAATCTTAATGGGCTTTATCTTACATATTTGATAACAACTTTAATAGCTATTACACTCTTGTGTATCTCCTCATTTATTCCATCACCAACTACAAGGCTGATGATATGAGTTGTGCATCTCATATGTAGATCTTTGTGCACCCAAAAATGTTGTTCCCCACTCGCTAAGAACATTCTTAAGAACCCTAACAACTCCATCATTTGATAACGCATTGTTTATATTCAATGAACATACCTCTTCAATACCCCAATCCTTCAAATACCTCTCTAGAAGGTCACCTAACTCTTCCCCCTTCTAGCTGTCAACAGCAAAAAAGTTTAGGAATTTTTTTGTGCAACTTCTAATTTTTCATCAATATAATGTGAAGTTAGACACATGTAAGAAATTCTTTGAATTGAGGTCCATGTGTCCATAGTAAGTGAAACCCTTTGCCTTGATTCTTTGAAAAATAATTTAAGCTTCAACCTTTCATCCATATAAATATTATAACAATTTATGGTCATTAACCTCCTAGATGGGATCCTAAAATTAGGTGGCAATGCAAGTAGATAAAACTTCCTAAACCCTTACTTTTCAACAAAACTGAATGGAATTTTATCAATTATGATCAATTTAGCTAAAGCCTTCCTCACAGACTCAGGGCCAAAGCCTTCCTCACAGACTTAAGGCCAAACCTCTAGGTGCCTAAGTAAGGCATTTGGCCACCATTCTCAACATCACCACCATAATAGCTAAGCATGTTTGATTCTTTCTAAACCCAACATACTAAATACAACTCAATAAACGAGTTTTCATCAAGGAGGTCCCATACAAGCTAAAGACTTGTTGTAGTAGTATCATTTAGCCTTGTTTTTTCCAGCCTTGTTTTTTCCATCCTTATCAAACAATCTCAGTAAAAGGATCCCATACTTCAGATCTTTTCTTACCATTCTTTCTTTTGCCATTAACAACATTCCTGCTTTCTTTCCTCTTATGCTTGTCTAAAATCATCTCCTAATTCAACTTCTACATTTTGTGGCTACCCATTATTGATAGTTTAAGCATCTTGGTT